GTATGTTCCATATATTTTACTATTCCACTCCTTCCCTAGTTTCACACAGAATACCCCATTTAAAAAAATTAAATTACTCTGTAAGCTGGACTGGAACAAAGTTAATAACCACAATGATGTTAATTTGCTCATTAATTACCTTAGATAATGTTGAATTATTAAGTATCTATCTCTTATTGCCAAGCACTGGGATACAATGTTAACTAATGTGTATTTCAGGTCATTGGCCATGTCTTATCTGCAGTGCTTCACCAATTAGAAATGCTCTCAGACACTAAAAGTGGAAAACTCAAATAGTAATGATTTAAAACATATTATCACTCTATAACTTTCTTTATAAAAATTCAAAAAGACGTTTGTAACTCCACAATATTAGGGTACTGGGGTTATGTCTCTGTGATTCTTCTTATGGTTATAAGAAGACTGCCATATTTCCAAACATCTCATCCTGCTCAAAGGCAGCCGGGATGGTGAGAGAATTGTTGTTCTCTCTTGTCTCCTCCGTTTATCTGAGAATGGGAGAATACAGTCCTCCCAGAGACCTCCTCATAGCAGACCCACTGGTTAGAACAAGGTCATGAGGCACCAAAAAGTATCCAGTGAACAAAGGATAGTGGGTTGAGAATGAATATTGGGTAGCCAACCAAAAGTGATGTCATAGATGCTTTATAGCTTTCCACACACTTTCACGTTGATGATCTCATCTTATGAAACTACTTTCCAAACATACAGAAACTCAAACCTAGAATAAGAGGTATAAATGGTATCTGCTGTGTGGGAACTTCTGGTTGGGAAGTAATTTAAAGGTCCTTTGAAAGTGCAAACTTAATGCAAAGGTTTTAAAGATATAATGTCTTTAGCTTATAAATTATACATACAACAGCCCAAGGAGTAATTCAGAAGATTTTAATAGTTTGGGAAGATAATTACATGGTGAAATGAAAAGAGAAATTAGGGTACATGGATTCGAGGCTCAGCTTGGGATTCTAGGCTCAGACACTGGAAGAATTCTGAAGCTCTTTTTCATTATTTGTAAAAATTATGTACTTAAACCAAGTTAGATGACTCCTAAAATCCTTCTCAAATATAAGAGTTTCTATCTAGTTATCATGCTGGAAGTCATGAGGTACAATATTAAAAATTGTCTATTCCAACCTCTTTTTACAAGTAAGGTAATTTAGGCTCAAAAGATGACCATTTTTCCAAATTCACTCATCTAAGTTAGAAATTTGAGTCTTAGTATATATATAAAATACACTATGATTTCACAAATAGCTGGTATTCCATAGATTTTTTTTTTTTTTAAATCAGCCTCTTCCTTTATCTTCTTTTTTACCTTAGGCAGGATCTCTCCATTAGCATTTACTCTATAATGGAATGCAGATTACATTAAAAAAAAATTAAAGCCTACTGTAAGATCTTAACCTCTCGGTAAAATGATAACTGTACCTTTCCCATAGTTTTTCAATTCTTTTTTGAGCACTAGATGAAGTAACCTGCAAGGACTTAATCCCAGCCACCCATCTCAGTGCTTAAAACTCTCCCAAGAGTGAGAAAGGCCCTAGACCAATTTCCCCAGCAGTTTGTGTGAAGAGTGAGTCTGAATATCAGGATCATTATTTGTCTTCACACAGTCATATCTTTTACCTTCACAGTATGTAGATCTGGTACATAACTGGGAGCAGTTACTATGCTGTCATTGAGCACAGCGTCCAGTGTTTTATACGAGACCATTTGAATCACTTATATCTGGGATTCACAGATGGGCTGCAGGGGAACAGGGACCCATCTGATACTTCATTGAAACTTTTTTTAAACCATGGTACTATTGACATTTCTGAATAGATGGTTCTGAGGAACTGTCCCTGACATGGCAGTGTGGTTAGAAGCATCACCTGCCTCTAACCACCAGATACTAGTAGCACCTCCATGATGATGGTAATAAAAAAGGATTACCAAGCTCTGGCTGGGGCTGTGCGGGATGTTTTGCTCTCACATCCAGTTTTCTCTGTCTCTCTGTCTCTGTCTCTGTCTCTGTCTCTCTCTCTCTCTCTCTCTCTCTCTCAAAAAAAAAAAATATTTCTTAAAAAATTCTGTGTCCTAAACTTGCCAAGTGTGCAAGGGGGGCATAATCTCTCTCCTCCCCCTTGTTCCACTGTGATTAAGCTTAATGTGTATGTGCATTTCTTTTCTGGGACGCTTATCAGCTTCATCATATTCTTAAAAGAATCTATGACCTTTTATGCACATCTCCAGCTGTAACTGTGGAGGGGGGGGGGATGCACCATCATAACTAAATGAAATGGTGCAATTTGGAAATTTACTATATACATGCTCATTTATTTCTTTCCAATACTTTGAAGAAGCGATTCACAAACTATATCTGGGAAAGTATCTGCTTCACAAACTGCTATTCCCAGACTGCACGAGCACTTTCAGTCTTCTACTGAACACAGCTCTAAACTGCCAAAGGGATAACGCTTAACAACAACCAACCCAAAATCCAAAACCTCGTCTGAAAGGAAAATAAAAATCAGTTGTTTCTTAGAAAAAAAATCCAGTGTCAGTACTGATTTCAAAATTGACTGGAGAGATGGAAGGGAAGGGAAGGAGGGGGAGAAGGTGAAAGGAGGGAGAGAGCGAGCTGGAATGCTGAGCCTTGAAAGAAGTTCCCAAAGAGAGTGTCTTAGGAGATGCTCCCTTTTGCGGGAAGTCGCCCCTGCCTCCTCCCCGGCCAGCCTGGAAGACGGCCGCTGGCCTGAGCCGTGGCCTCCCCTATTCATCTCTCATTCCCAAGTCCACATTGTTCGCCCACTTCCCAAGTGATCACATCCCAAGAGCGTCCGCAAAGCTCAAAAGGGTCAATTTACCCGGTCTTGAGGCCCCATTCTCATCTACAACCGGAGCTTCAATCCCAAATACCAGACCTACAAAAGCAGACAGGAAACGTGTCTCGTCTTCCGTGGCCCCTCGCGAGCTCCCCCAAAGACAAGCAACTTTCTCCCCTACTTCTCTGTCTGCCTGCCTCCACCGCTCTCCCTTCGGAAAGAGTCCCAATGAGAGGAGAGCGGGAGGAGGCTCGGGGCTCGGGGAGCCGGGCCAGCCACCCTCTAAGAGACGGGCTTGGACCCCAGCGCAGAGGGGTGCGCCCTTCCGCGCCCCGCGCGCCGGGACCCTGCCCACCGCGCCCGGCCCGGGTCTGTCCCTCCGGGGCTGTCCCTCCGGGTGTGTCCCTCCGGGTGTGTCGGCCCCGGGTCTGTCCCTCCGGGTGTGTCGGCCCTGGTCCGGGGGGCGGGCGGCGGGAGCGGGGGGAGGAGGCGGCCGGAGGGAGGGGCGGTGCGTGCCTCGCCTGCCAAGGAGCGGGCTGCGCCTCTGCGAGCGAACCCCCGCCCCGGACGCGCGGGGAGCGGGCTCCACTGGTGGCGGCGCAGCGCGTCCTCGGGGCAGCCCCGGAGCCGGCCCTCTCCCCAGTCCGCCAGGACTCCCTGCGGCTCAGGGCGGCGGCGGGGAAGGAAGATCGGTCTCCTCGCCGCGGACGTTCCGCCGGGAAAGACGGCAAGTTGTGAGCGCGCCCGGCCCGGGGAGGAGGCGGCCGCCGCCGCCGGCCATGTGAGTGCGGAGCTCCCGCCCGGGGCGTGGGCTCCCCGCGTCTCCCCTCGGCCCCCGGCCCCGGCGCCGGAGTTGGCGGCCCCCGGCTCCGGACTTCCTGAGCGGGGCTGCCGGCGGGCTCCCCCGACCTGCCGCGTCGGCTGTTGGCTCTGCCTGGGGCGTTGCTGCCTTCCCATCCTCCCTTCAAAGGCCGGCTGGAAACGCCTAGCTCCCGCTTTTTGGATTCAGGGATCTTATGTGTCTTCAGGAGTGCGGGTGAGGGTGAGAGTGCGGATGGGGGTAGGGGTAGGGGTGGGTAGGTGGGGACATTGCAGGGGCTGATTATGGACTTGCCTTGGCCTTACCCCAGCTCTAGATGATGGCCCTCCGCCCTCTCGGTCACCCCCACTCTCTTTTCCCAGCCTCATGGCCCAGACAGACAACTTTAGTCAATAACGCTGATGCTGGCCACAGTTGACAAGATTAAAAAAAAATAGTAGTGCAGTGACACACTGGACTGTACACGGGGCTGCGGGGTGGGAAAGCCGCAGGGGCGAGGCTTGGGAAAGAGAAGAGGTGAAGGAAGGGGCATTTGCTGTGGACTCTGAACGCTGGCGTTGAGAGTTCTGGAAATGGAACTCCAGGGTGCATGGGCTTTGGACTTCTGTATTTATTTCTTTATGGGAAGTGTGGGAAATGGTTCAGGAACACTTTTTGAAACAGAAGCAGGGGTGGCAGTCAAATGCTTGTGGAACCATTTGAATAATTGGGGTTGGCTATAGAGTACTAGAAGGTATGGATTACTTTTCAGATTAGACACGGACGATTATTGAACTGGAGAGATAGATAGTTCCAAAAAATTTATTGGAACCAATGAATCAAAATTGCAGAGATGAAAGTAAGTCATACACTGGCTTTCTTTCACTTACTCCGGGAGAGGATAGTTAAGATTGAAGGGATTCACAGATGCTATTGAACCTAGTACTGGGAGTGCCTGTTAGCTCCATCCATTCTGTGTCTAGACAGTCTATAAGGTTTGGTAAATTTGGTGTTCTGGAATTGTGAAATTTATTCTAATCATTTTGTTTGGGCTCATGCAGAGACTTCTCACTTTTGAAGTTTTGAGGCAAGTTTGAGTATTTATTAATTAAAAGTTTAGAACAACTGAATTGATGTTATTATCCATTTCACTAGAAAACATTAAACTCTCAATATTTCTTATTTTACCAGGGATCATCACCCTTACTACGGAGGATGGGAAGCTGAAGCCCAGTAAGGCTGAAGATCCATTCTGTTCATGGACACTCCCCATTACAGAACTGCGGATTACCTGTGGTCCCAGTACTTGGTGATTTCATACCTTCACTTACTCTTGCAGCCCTTTGGGTCCTCGTTGCCCTATCTGGAGAAAGATGGCATCCAGCCTGACGTGTACTGGGGTAATCTGGGCTTTGTTCTCATTTCTTTGTGCTGCTACCTCCTGTGTGGGGTTCTTTATGCCTTACTGGCTCTGGGGATCCCAACTGGGCAAGCCTGTGTCCTTCGGTACTTTCCGGAGGTGCTCGTATCCGGTGCATGACGAGAGCCGGCAGATGATGGTGATGGTGGAAGAATGTGGGCGCTACGCCTCTTTCCAGGGCATCCCCAGTGCAGAATGGAGGATCTGCACCATCGTGACAGGCCTGGGTTGTGGCCTCCTCCTCCTGGTGGCTCTCACTGCTCTCATGGGTTGCTGTGTGTCGGAGCTCATCTCCAGAACAGTGGGAAGAGTTGCTGGAGGAATTCAGTTTCTGGGGGGTAAGTGACTTGCTACACTTGAGTTGTTTACTGGAATCCCAAAGTCATATTGAAAATTATGTTCCGGTTGTCTTTTGAGATTATTATAATTGACACTTGGAATGCTCTTGAGAAACAGACATGAAATGGCTTTGGTGATAGAATACCAAAGTCAGAGGTTTTTACTGGAATTGCTTTACAACTTGGGGAATTCTTAAATTCCTGTTCATCCTTAGACACATATACATCATTAGCCTGCTAAGTACCACCTATGTGAGGCAGTAACGTTTAGGTCGTTTATAATGTGGTAGGGGAGACAGTTTGCATTCCATCACTTCTCGCTCTTCATGTTCAATGGTAAGCAATTAGATTATCTGTGTCTTACTGGAATCCTCAGGTCTTTAATCAAGAAGACATCATAGAAAAGTAGAAATGATTTTGGTTCCGCATTGTCATTATAAATCTTTTAATACTCTTTGGTAAAATTACCCTTACCCGATCTTAAACTATATTTCTAAATAAGTGATTACTGTTTTAAATAAGATACCAGTTTTGCATTAAGAATTATGAATTTCACTAGTCTACAAACATAGCTATAGCTGTAACTATCTTGTTAAGATTTCATTTTCCTGGGTACTCTTACTGTTAAGAAAAAAAAAAAAAAGAACATTTAGCAAATGATGTCTACTTGTCCCAAATGGACTGGATAATGTCACTAACACCAGAACAGGTTTGATTTTTACTTGGGTTTCCTCCAACAAGTACTGCTTCAATATCTCTGGTCATATGGTTTTAATTATACTTTATATATTTTCCGCTGTGCCTTTCACCTCCATTTTTCAAACCTGAAAGGCTGAACTTGTCTGATTTATAATCTGCCCTGGTGAAATATGACAACTATCATAGATAATGCAGAGTGAAGAAGAAAATCCAGGAAAGTATGTAAAATGTATCTGTAACTTCATTATAAAGTAAGAGTCTGTTACTATTTCATTTGGCGTTTCCTTACAGAGTTTTGTGAAAATCCTGGAAAAAAGCAATTAAAAATTAATAGTTCTGAGAAAGAGTCTACTTATTGGAGAAACCCCAACAGATTATTTTAGATTTTTAATATAAAACTTTCAAGTAATGTTTAAGTAAGAAAATTCTTGTGCTAAAAAATGCAAGTGGCAAAAAGTTTTGTGTTTTAAAACAAGAGATAGAGTTGTTTGCAGTTCTTTATTTCCTTACCAGATAGAACTTTGTTTTCATCTATTTTTTTTTCTCTGTGGTTTTGCATCTCACTCTGCTCTAGAAGGCAATTTGGGGGCCTTAACTCTCCTTTCTTTATTACTTCAGTGTTCAACATTGACCAAAGTCTTGTATGTGATATGTATATTCATACAGAAATAAAGTAAATAAAGTAAAACTGTTAGGAAACAGAAAGAGTTTATTGTTGAAAGTTGCAATATAAATCCAGAGTTTGAAAACATGATGCCACGGATTTTAAGAATAAAACTAATGCCATGAGTATTTAAATATCTTTCATTAAGAATAAACTTGCTTTGATGTTTTGTTTCACTTGGCTCAGGAAAAGTGCTTAGGCAGTTTCTTTTTCTCCTCTTATGGTAAATATTACTCTTCTCCCTTCTCCTCCCCCTTCATTTTAGGGCAGGAACTGCTATTATCTGGCAGAACAGGAAAATACTTACAAAGAGAAATAATTTTTATTGATTATCTTTAAACATACAATGAAAGAAGGCAACAGAAAGTGAATCTGAGACCCATGAGATTTTATGCTTCCCTCTCTAAACTATGTATAGATTTTTTTGGAGTATATAGAGCTAAATGTTTAACAGAAAAACTGAAGAAAGACCGTTATGGAAGTTATATATATATATTTAAAAGGTACTGGTTTTTCTCTTTAGATTTTCTTTTCATGAACTCTGGCTTGGTAAGTGTTCCTGACATTAAGATAAGGAAATAGTTTATTACTAGCAGTTGACATTCTCTCTTTTTTCATATATATTTTTCATATTTGGCAAAGTATTCTGAATATAAAAACCTAAGAGAGTTTTTCTGAATTGAACCTCTATACATCCTATTACCCGAATGTTAGTAAATTTAGAATTAAAAAATAACTTGAATTATGGAAAAGGCTTTGGGAAAATCTGCCATTGATTACTATCATTTAATGGTAAACCAGGTGACAAACACAAAGTACTTCAAAAAGAATTCCTTCTGTTGTTTATTTCATAATTGTCTGGATCTTTATTCATAAACACTTAAGTGGTAAGTAATTTTATTATATGCAAAATACCAAACCACAGAGCTCTATGAGTTCCACAGATGGCTATGCTTCAGGAATATATTCAACATAACTCTCCCATAAGGCGGATTCTCTTACTAAAAATGGTTCACCAAGAGGGTTGTGTTTAGCCAAAGTTAGGGTTGCTCCAAAAACACAGGAAGCAGCCGAATGGCAAAGTACAGAGGCATCCTGCTTAACCCTGCTTGCTGTGTTGAGAGTTTGCACATATGGTGTAACATCAGGCAGTAAAACCCCTGCAGTACTTTGGAACTAGTTAAAGACAAAATGTCAACCTTAATTTTGAATAATCTTGCTATGGTTGATTAGAGGTTAAAATGTCACCTGTCAGCTGATAGAACAACACAAAAAAAGACTGTTGTACATGGGCATTTGCTACTTTTAGGAGGAATACTTCAAAGAATCAGTAACTTAAGCTTTTCCTGTGGTAACTTGAACATAAACTTTGCCACTATCTCCATCTTATATTTGAAGTCATTTTTTTGGTCATAATTTTCAAAAGCAAGTCTGAATTGAGTTTTACCCTTAAGAGTTGTGTTGTTGTTTTTGTTTTGTTTTGTTTTTTTACGATTTTTAAAGCTGATTTTTAGAGAGAGAGAGAGAGAGAGAGAGAGAGAGAGAGAGAGAGAGAGAGGGAGAGAGAGAGAGAGAGAGATGGGAGAGCAAGACATCAACCGGCTGCCTCATACACACTCCCTACTAGTGACTGAGCCTGCAACCTAGGCATGTGCCCTGATTGGGAATCAAACTGGCAGCCTTTGGTGCACAGGATGACACCCAACCAACTAAGCCACATTGGTTATGGCCTTAACTGAGTTTCTAAAAGGCATGTAGAAAGCCTTTGAGAAATATAAGATAACTAACATTTGTATCGTGTGGAAATGTGCTATGAGAAACTAGAAGCTTTAATATTTTTGTTTATTAAATGTAAAAGTATTTGCTTTTAAATATTGCTGTAGTCATTAAGTACTGTAACAAAGTTTTAAAACGTTAATATCAAACTTTTTGATGTATGTGTTAGTTAAACATGTGCTCTGTAAATGAAACATGTAAGAACATTATAAAGACATATTTAACTAAGTTCTTACAAACGTTGGTATCTGAATTTATAGATTTCATCTTGGGAAACTGCTGGTGCTGTATGTAATGCAGATTTGGAGTAATCCACATTTAGTTTGAATGGGAGTCACACGTATTTATAAAATGGGTGTAGAATACTAATCAGTAGCAAACAACTATCTTTCCAATTTAAAAACTGTTCTGTCCTTACAGGCCACGGGAGACCATCTCCTCAATTAGTTGAGAGTGAAGTGCTGTTCAAGACAGTAATGATAACAAAGGGTTTCTTTGAGCAGCCTTTTCTCTGTCTGCTGAGAGTGCCCTGCCTTTCTAGTATCCCTCACTGCAGGCTGTCACCTGGGCCTGTCTCTCACCCCTTCGGGATAAGGGCTCGGGACTCCCCTTCCTTCACTCCACTTAAACCCCACCTGTCATACGATACGCCCATTCTGCTTTCCTTCATACCCAGGTTCTTTGTCAAGTGACAGCTGAGGAACAGTATAAATGATAAGTGTTGGCATATTAATGAGCATAGTAGCTTAATAGTGACAGTATCTTAACTGGAGTTGCTCTAATTTTAAGAAAGCCAGGCATTTCTTGGGCCGGTTTGGGGTTTACTTTAAATTACATCTTATAGATATTTCATTCATCTCCCTGCAACCTACAACTTAAGGCTGTCTTGAGATCTAAGCCAGTGGTTCTCAAACTTTAGTATGCATCAGAATCACCCATAGGACTTTGTAAAACACAGATTTTGGGGGCCCACCAAGGAATTTCTGATTCAGTAGGTTTGATAATATGTACTTCTAATAAGTTCCCAGATAAAGCTGGTTCTGAGAACAAATCTTAATAATCTTGTTTTAAGTTAACCATTACGTGTTTTTAAAAATTTGACTTCTGGTAGATGGTTTACTTTCAGAATTTAAAGTTTAGATGTATCATGATCTGATATAAACCTCTCTAATTGGACTATAAAAAGACTCACCTCTGTAATTTAGTGTTGTCTGAACACATCCTCATTCCATCTCTCCTTGTTATTGTCACAGAAAGTTGTTTTCCTGGCGTTCTCTCTCTTAATGCACATTATATACATATTATAATTATAATATATGCATTATGCAATAGGTACATAATTATTTATATATACATATGTGAGTGTATATATATATGTGTGTGTATATATATATATATATATTCTTTCATTTACAATTATCCTTTACCAGAAACAAGATTCTATATATGGAGAACTTAAAATAAGACCTTAGTTTCTCCTCTGTAGTTTTCATGCAGTGGATTTTCAGTAAGGAATTACTAACTGAAAGATATGAAGACCACAGAGTCCAGCCAAAACAACCTTTGTCCAACTCTGTAAAGCCATGAATGTCTTGGAAAAGCAGAATGGTTAGGTCAGTAAGGCATTAGGAATCAGCTTTGACCTGGTCTTAAACATCTCTAGGGAAGATGTTGCACTCTTGTTGAATAGTAGTACTTTCTAGGGCCACAAATCACACCTGCCATCACAATCAGATGTCCCACATTACATCCTATATAATAAAAGGGCAATATGCAAATTGACTCCCGGGAATGACCAGTCGCTATGACACACACTGACCACTGAGGGAAGATGCTCAATGCAGGAATTGCCCCCTGGTGG